TTCGAACTATGGTTGGCCATGTGGGAGCTGGCTCCCTTTACCACGAGGCTATGTGCCAGTCCTTATTGTCACTTGTGGTAAAGTACAGATGACATAAAGTTTATCATCTTAACCATTTTAAGTGTACAGTCCAGTGGTATCAAGTCCATTCACATAGTTATGCCGCCATCGCCAGCATCCATGCAAACACGATACTCCTGAACCCCTGAAGATGTCAGTGTTTTTCCTAAGAATGAGTCCAGTGATCAAGACCAGGAAATTAACATCGATGCAATACAGTTTAAGCCACAAACCTTATTTAAATTTTGTCATTTGTCCCCTTCGTGTCCTCTATAGCAACTGAAATCCAGGGTCACACACGATTCAGTTGTTGTGTCTCTTTAGTCCTCCTTAAATCCAAAATCATCCTGGGATCTTTGTCTTTCATCCTTCTGACATGTTTGAAGAGTCCAAGCCAGTTATTTTGTACAATTTTCCTTACTTTGGGTTCAACTCTTACTAAAGGATTTCAAAAAGTTTATGGGAGAATAGAGTTAATGTGTGAATTAATGTTGGTGCCAAGAAATTGTGAAATCCATGCATAGTTTTGTCGTAACATACATTTGCCAGGAATGTTTTTGAAGGTTGCTCCAGTCAGACCCGGGCAATGCCCTTGTGGCAGGAAGCCCGCAGGAGCGGTGTCCTTGTGGATTCCATTAGGAAGAGCATGACGTCTACCTGGGGCTAGTGTGATGACCTCCATCTTGGCCAGCATGGTGCCTTCCAGGTTTTCCCAAATTGTAACAAGGACGAATAAGGACAAGGCAGAGGTGCTTTTATTATCATCCTCTTTTAGAAGGATGAGGAGCCCAGAGCCTATCCAGGTTACTCGTGTTTGTTTAGCTGGTTTGACCAGATGCCCCCTCCAAGTCTAGGCACTGCCTTCCTGGTCACACGTGGTGTCCCCTTCTCAGCCCCCATCTTCCCCTGTCTCTCAGAGCTCACAGCCTGGCTGACATCCCATTCTCCTAGAGCGCTGGCTTCTGGCTGACAGTGGACCCTGTGTTTCCCAGTTTCCCCCCTCTGCTGGGGGGCCCCCGGTCAGGCCCACTGTTGGTGAGCCAAAGGCTCAGGCCCACCGCATCTCCTCCCTAGGGTGTTCTCTCTCTGCCTTCGGACACCATCCATTGCCCATGACACCGAGGGTCACTTTCCTTCTGTAAGCCCACTCCACTCCCAGCCCTGCCTGTTTCTTTTGGGTCCTTCCTGTAGCAGGGAGTGCTACCTCTACTTCCCATCGAGACCTTCTTCCTTTCTTTCTTCTTCAACAGATGCTCAGTGGATTTTGCCTGTTGTATCCCAACTATCTCCCAGACCACACCCCGGCCCCCTCTCCAGTCAGAGGCCACTGCGTCTCACCTCAGCCTCTGCATAGCCACAAACCTGCATTTCTGCTGAGTCCCTGCTGCTCTCTAATCCAGAGAGGTCTTTCTAAGCTCACCTCAGTTCATATCCCTCCAGCCAGGCCCCACCTTCAGCCTCTCCTCTGGCACGGGGCTCCTGGCCACCTCACAACCCTGCACTTCTGAGCGCACCACGCTCCTACTCCCCTTCTGGCCTTTACAGTTGCTGTTCCTTCTCCCTGGAGCACTTTCCCTGCAGACCCCTGCACTGCTGGCTCCTGCTCCCCTTTCTGGTCCCAGCTTAGGCACCCCTCCTTAGAGAGGCCTTTGCTAATATCCAGCCCCAGTAACTGCTCCCCTGCCTCCAGGTCACTCAAAAAACAGCACCTGCTTTTCATCATGAGGCATTTCTCATGATCTGAAATGATCTTGTTCATGTCTTGTTTTTCTTTTTCTCTCTTCTTTTCATGAGCCCTTTCTGTCTTGTTCTCCGATGCTTACAGCCAAGAACTGTTCCTGGTGGGTCTGGCCCAGGAGGACTCTCTTTTTCTCTATCCTGTCTTAGGTCATTCCTTCCCCTCCTCCTCTTCCTCCCTTTCTTCCACTTGTTCTTTGTTTTATTCTCTCTCTTTTTCTTTCTGTTCTGTATTTATTTCTCCTTTCCTGTCTTGTTGGCAGCTACAAGATGACGCTGAGGTTTTACAATGCTTGTTTTATATATTGAGTTTGTTTTTATGTTGCTACTTAAAATGGCCAAGTTGAGTGTTTTAAATGTTTACTCAGAAATTGACAAGCCCCATGGCTTAGTGGGTAAGGGAGTCAGAGCCCACATGTCTGACTATAGTTCGAATCCTAACTCCAGTGACTTGAAAAACTCACCAGGTACATGTGCATGCATGCCCAGAATCCTGACAGGATGGAGCAGTGGAAGAGACGGGACTGTGGTGTGACTATCCCCCACTGAAGGGTGCTTTTTCCTCTCCCTTTCTCTGCTTTTCTCTTTCTCATGAGCACATATGCTCTCAAACAATTAAAAAAGAGAAAAAAATGGATCAAATGTTTAGAGAAGGACTGATTTGAGAGGCAGAAAGAGACCGAATTCTGGTTTGGGCTTTGCTCGGAACAAGCTGTCTTTTAGACTTGTCCTGGTCTTGGTTTTCTTCATTTGTAAAATGAAAGGGTGGTGGCAGGACCAGCAGTTAGCATAATGGCTATGTTGCTGGACTCCCACGTAGTCGACCACAGTTCAAGTCCCGGACCCGGTGGCTTAAACTCACACTGGGCGGATGTGCGTGCGTGCCTAAGATCCCGAGAGGAGAATGGAGGAGAAGGGATTGCGGCGTGGCCATCCCCCCGGGGGATGATTTCTCACTTTCTATCTCTCTGTCTCTCTCTGTCTGTCTGGCGAGTACATGCACCCTATAGCAAAAACCTCTCCAAAAAAAAAAAAAATGAAAGGGTGGTCAGCCTCTGAAGCCTCTTTACATTCTGGGATGCAAACCCTTAGTTGATTTAAGTAGGTTTTATTATTATTATTATTGTGGTAAATTACACATAACATAGACTTTATTGTCCAACCATGTTTTTTTTTTTTTTTAGAGGAATTTTTCTTTTGGCTGTAGGGTGCGTGTGCTTGCCAGAAAGAGAGAGACAGAAAGCGAAAAATTACCCCCCAGTGGGGATGGCTACATTGCAATCCCTTCTCCTCCATTCTCCTCTCGGGATCTTGGGCACGCACGCACACATGTCCAGCGGGAGTTTAAGCCACTGGATCCAGGACTCGAACCGTGGTCAACTACATGGGAGTCCAGCGACATAGGCATTATTCCAACTGCTGGTCCCCCAACCATATTTTAAAGGTGTATTTCATCTATGAGAAAGAGAGAGAGACAGAGAGATACACAGACACCTTCAACAGGGTCTTCATGCCATGAGCCACCCCAGTCTTAGCAAGCCAGGATCATGGGTGTGCATGGGGCTAGTACAGGGAGCCCTCAGGGTGTGAACCCAGGACCTTCAATTTGGCTTCAGCATCATGGGTTGTCGTTTTAGCAACTGAGCCACTATGGCTGACCTTCGCTGTTTTCGAATGCACAGTTCAGTAGCATTAAGCATATTCACACAGTTGTACAGCCACCCCCACTATCTATCTCGAGAAATTTTCATCTTCCACAACTGAAACCTCATATGCATCAAACACTAACTCCCTAGTCCCTGCTCCCCCAGTCCCTGGCAAACTCCACTCTGTCTCTATGAATGTGAATACTCTAGGGACCACATGCAAGTGGGATGATACAGTATTTGTCCTTTTGTGATTGGTCTATTTCACTTGATCTGGGATTTTTTTTTTTAAAGAATGATTTATTTATTTAATTTTATTTGTTGTTATTATTATTATTTTAATTTGACCAGAGAAAGATAGAGAGAGAAAGGGAAAGTAAGGATCCAAGCTGCAGGTCTAGGACTTGAACCACGGCTGGGCTTGTGGGAGTCCAGTTCCTCAAACACCACACCACCTACTGGCCCCCGGGTTGATTTTTATTCTAAATTGAAAGGAGGTTTCTATCACTATTTGAAGAAAACTGGTTTTGGACCAGCAGATGACATAGTAGTTATATTGCTGGATTCCCATATGGCCGACCGTGGTTTGAATCCTGGACCCGGTGGCTCAGAAATCAGGCCAGGTGTGTGTATGTGCATGCCCAAGATCCCATGAGCATGGAGAAGGAACTGGAATGTGCCCATCCTTTCTAAGGGGGTTACTTTCTCACTTACCCAACTCTGTCTGTTTTCCTGTCTCTCTGTCTCTCTGTCTCTTTCTCTCAGTGAGCGCATGTGCTCTAAGGCACAAACCTTTTTTTAAAAAAAGGAAAAGACTTTTTTTTTTGAGAGGTTTTTGCTAGAGGGTGTGTGCACTCGCCAGAAAGAAAGAAACCCCCGGGGGGATGGCCATGCCACAATCCCTTCTCCTCCATTCTCCTCTCAGGATCTTGGGCATGCACGCACACGTGCCCGGTGTGAGTTTAAGCCACCGGGTCCAGGAGTCGAACCAGGTCGACTACATGGGAGTCCAGCGATGTAGCCATTACGCCAACTGCTGGTCCCAAGACCTGGTTTTAATGAAGAAACCTGATTTGAACTGAGCCAAGCTTCTTCCTGGAAAGAGCACACTGATGAGGATTAGCTTATTGGGGAAACCCATGATTGTCCTTGTACCTGGCCAGCAAGAACTCTGGGTTAGGGATGTGGGTACAGTTTGGTGGGTCCTGTAGGGCAGGGCCTGCCCTGGGCACTGAAGGGGTTGGACAGACACTGATGATTCTCATCCTGTGTCCACACATGACTTCTCGGTGGTGTCTGATATTGCTTTAAGTTTTGAGTGTTGGACTTTTAAAACCTGTGGTGACTATTGGAATGTTAGGGTGAACTTGGGCTTCCATTTGGGTTTGGATTTGCTCCCTTCCCTCCGGCCAGGATGTTGGGCTTGGCCAGGAATGGAGGAGAGAGCTGGCGCTGGCCTTCGTGTGGGGCTGCTGTGGGGGTAGGCGAGAGACCCTTATCCTCTGGTGTGCCTCGGTGCCAAGCTGCTCTAACCTGGGCTGTGGTTTTCCTTCCCAGATGCTGAAGTTCCGCACAGTTCATGGGGGCCTGCGGCTCCTGGGTGTCCGCCGAGCCTCCACTGCCCCCGCTGCCTCCCCAAATGTCCGTCGCCTGGAGTACAAGCCCATCAAGAAAGTCATGGTGGCCAACAGAGGTGAGTGCCACCAGAGCCAGGAAAGGTACCTCCTGTCCACTGCAGCCTCGCTTCCTCTTCCACTCCTGCTCCCCACCCCACTTTCTGCTTCTCTTAGGACCCAGGAACCTAACTGCTCATCCGTTGCCCCCCAGGCGAGATTGCCATCCGTGTGTTCCGGGCTTGCACAGAGCTGGGCATCCGCACCGTGGCCGTCTACTCCGAGCAGGACACGGGCCAGATGCACCGGCAGAAAGCAGATGAAGCCTACCTCATCGGCCGCGGCCTCGCCCCCGTACAGGCCTACCTGCACATCCCAGACATCATCAAGGTGGCCAAGGTGAGCAGGCTGGCCGGCTGGGCCTGGAGGGCCAGGGAGCTGCAGGGGCTGGGGCCTCTCATGAGGCTGAGACCGGGAATCATGCTATGCCCAACACCCATGCCAGTCAGCAGTCTGTGTGTGAGTGTGATGCCATCCATGTAGGGAGATAGGGGCTGGCCAAGGCCTGTAAGGGGACTGAGGGGTCCCACCTCTTCCTGACCCACCCTGCAGGAGAACAACGTGGACGCAGTGCACCCCGGCTACGGATTCCTCTCCGAGAGAGCAGACTTTGCCCAGGCCTGCCAAGATGCGGGGGTCCGGTTTATTGGGCCAAGTCCAGAGGTGGTCCGCAAGATGGGAGACAAGGTGGAGGCCCGGGCCATCGCCATCGCTGCAGGTCCTCAGGAGGCCTCCAGGGAGGGGTGGAGGGGGCTTGCTTCCTTGGCAGGTTTGGCAGGTATCCAGCCTATTACACAGTCCCCCCACCCCCCGCCTATCTCCCAACAGGTGTCCCTGTTGTCCCGGGCACAGACTCCCCCATCAACTCCCTGCACGAGGCCCACGAGTTCTCCAACACCTATGGCTTCCCTATCATCTTCAAGGCCGCCTATGGTGGTGGAGGGCGTGGTATGAGGGTCGTGCACAGCTATGAGGTGAGCCAAAGTGCAGGGGCCAGGACTGGGACAAGGCAGGGCGGCCACTGTGGGGTGCAGGAGGTGAGGTCACCCACAGAGCAGACCAGCAGGGCTCTGGGAAATGGGTGGGGTCTTGGCCGAGGGCAACACAGAGCTACGGGCCCAACCTCACTCAGCCCTGGTCTGCCCTTCCAGGAGCTGGAGGAGAATTACACCCGGGCTTACTCAGAGGCACTGGCTGCCTTCGGGAACGGGGCACTGTTTGTGGAGAAGTTCATCGAAAAGCCACGCCACATTGAGGTGCAGATCTTGGGTAAGTAGAGAGTGTCCAGAAGCCTGAGCCCAGGCCGCACGGGCAGGAGCTGTAGCTCCCATCCTGTGCCATTTCTGGCGCCAGCCTTTGAGACAGCTTCCAGACTGTATCCGCAGGATTTCCAGAAACCTCCCCTCAGGAAAGTGGCTGCCTTTCTGGTCCGAAGGCCTCAGTTATGCCAGTCTGTCCTGGCTTGCTCCCTACCTCTGGGAGCAGGCCCTATCTGGCCACAGCAGTTACCCCTGGGGGGTGCCAGGGGTATTAAGGAGGCATTTATTATAGTTCCAGAAAAAGCTGAGCCCAGTTTATCTCCCACCCCAGGGGACCAGTACGGGAACATTCTGCACTTGTACGAGCGAGACTGTTCCATCCAGAGGCGGCACCAGAAGGTGGTAGAGATCGCCCCCGCTGCCCACCTAGACCCCCAGCTTCGGACGCGGCTCACCAGCGATTCTGTCAAACTTGCTAAGCAGGTGAGGGGTGGGGGGATGGGAGTCTGTTCTCACAACCTCACTTGGCCGGGGTGTGGGGTTCCCATGTGGACAGTCTGCTGTGGAGCAGGTGGGGGAGGGCAGGGGGACAGGTAGGGAAGGAGGCGAAGGGATCTCTTGGAGCCCAAGGGCCAAAGCGGGACATGCTTTCTACATGACAGCAGAGGTGTCTGGCGCAGAGGTAAGCTGGAGTCCAGAGTGTCTGAGGAGAGGGCAGGAAGGAGCCTGGCCACTCGCTCACTCACTCACTCAGCACCTTGCTGCACAGACTGGCCTGTGTGGCACCAGCTCACTGCTGGAATAAAAGGGATGAGGTTCCATGGAAGATTAAAAACATTTTTAAGGCATTTCTTCCTCACGTGCAATGAACTATCTCCCACATCACATTGGTCACTATCCAGTTCTTCACTGAGGTCCCTCTGCCAGTGTCTGCTCACCAGGGACCATGAGTTCAGATGTCCCAGGGTATGGAAAAGGCAGAAGATGATGGACTTTCTCCCCAGCGATAACCTGGCGCCTTCCCTGGTCTAGAGACCTTGCACTGTGCCTAGGGGTGTAGCAAGAGGCCTTCCCTCTGTCCTTCCTCAGAGTCAAGCCTTCCCAACCCAGATGTGCCCTTGCTGTCCCAGCTCCCATGGCCGGGTGTGCTCATCCAGACCTGGGGACCCTCAGACCACCCAGGCAGCCAGCAGGCAGCTGGTGACCGTGCCCTCCCAAGCCGAAAGCCAGGGCTCTGCTCTGCCGCGAGGCTTCAAGCATGATTAACACGAGGCATTGATGAGGGTCTCACCTAGGGTAGAGACTTTGGCTACTTCACAGAGGGGGTAATCTCTCCTTGAGTCTGGTCTTTACTGGCTATACCATTTCTCATTCCATAGCAGACTTGAGGGAGTGACTTAAATCTAGTGTGTGGTTTTGGTAGGACCAGAAGTGAAACTGGAATTAGGGTTGCAATTTGAGTTAGAGCCCTCATATGCTGGTTCTTCTCAATGACATCTCTTTGACTGGGAGTAGAGAAGGGAACTTTCTGAAAACCTCTCCAAGATTAAGTGGGGTCAGGGAGAGGCCTAGGTCTCTAGGTTTGCGTGAAGGGAGAGCCTCAGCTGGTAAACCAAGTAGGTGGTGGGTAGACAGAGCTTCTGCTGACCAGCCAGGTGCAGCCACCTGATGCTCTGATGGAGCCTCGAACCCATGGAGTCCTCACAGGAATGTCCAAGCTGGGGCATGACCTTCTGAGGCAGGGCTGGTGGTCTGCTGTTGTCTGTTGGGGCAGAATTTGCTGCAGGCAGTTCTGTGGAACCAACTCAATTGAATCCCTGTGCTGGGCTCCCCTGCCTCGCCCCCTCTGCTTACTCGGCCACCCCCACAGGTGGGCTACGAGAACGCAGGCACCGTGGAGTTCCTCGTGGACAAGCATGGCAAGCACTACTTCATTGAGGTCAATTCCCGCCTGCAAGTGGAGCACACTGTCACCGAGGAGATCACAGAGTGAGCACGGACTGGGGGCAGGGTGGGGGGGCATCCTGCATTTTGTGTAAAATCCTTGGAGCAGGCAGCCAGGAGGAGCTTGCTGGCTTTCCACTTTGGCAGACAGAGATGAGGGAGCCACGTACTTATTAAAGAATATATCATGGGGCCAGGCAGTGGCTCAGCAGCAACACAACTGGACGCACATGGGAGAGGTCCTGGGTTTGCCTTTCAGGACCCCCCTGAGCATGCAGGGTGCATGCTGGTGATGTGAGGGTGGGTCGCAGCAGGAAGGCCTTGCTGGGGTGCCTGTCTCTCTTTTGTTCTCTTTCTAGTTCTCTGTCTCATAGAAGAAATGTGTGTGTGTGTGTGTGTGTGTGTGTGCAATAATTTTTTTTAGAGATTTCTGCTGTAGGACATGTGTGCTTGCTAGAGAGACAGAGAGGCAGAAAACAAGAAATCACACACACACACACCCAGGGGCAATGACCACACCACAATCCCTTCTCTTCCATTCTCCTCTCAGGATCTTGGGCACCCACGCACACACGCCTGTGCATGAGCTTAAGCCACCAGGTCTTGGATTTGAACTGCAGTCGACTACCATGAGAGTCCACTGACACAGCTATTATGCCATCTGCTGGTCCCATAAAATTGTAAAAATAGTTTAAAAACATTGTTAGGGGATGACAGGTAGCATGGTGGTTAAAGGGACTGGACTCTCACATGGCCAACCATGGTTTGAATCTCAGACTTGGCAATTTGCTTCTCATTCCTCACCCCCCACCCCACGCCTCTGTCCCTCTCTGGTCTAATTAGAAATATTTTAATTAATTAATTAACTAATTAATTAATTAAATTTTAAATAAAATTTAACATTTAAAACGTACTCTAAAAGTATTACGTGGCTACTGTAGAAGTTAGTACAAATGGGCCAGCAGGTGGTGCAGTGGTCGAGGTACTTGGACTCCCACATGGCCAATCCTGGTTCAAGTCCTGGACCTGGCAGCTTGCTTTCTCACTTTCTGTCTTTCTCTTCTTCTCTCTCCAGAATGCACATGCTTCATAGCAAAATAAAAATAGTAATAATAATTTAAAAATTAATTTTAAAAAATTAGTACATAGTCCCCTATTCTTAGATAATTAGGTGGTTTCTGGCATTTGTGGTAGTAAGGGTGTGTCAGTTAACATGTATTTGTCCAAATGTTTTTCCCCTTAATTCATGATGGAATCCATGTGCACCCAAGTGGGAAAAAGAGGAGCACCCTCCACAGGGTCTGGTCACACCATGGTCCTCTTCCTCCAGTCTTCTAACCCATTGGATCGTGGGTACTTACACGTGTGCCCGGCGCATTTCTGACAGAAGTTCAGGTTTCAAACCACAGTAACCATGTGGGATCCTTCTGAGCAGCGCATCACTGTCGTATCACAGAGCCAGCCCCTCAGATCTTTTACATTTTTAAAAAAAATTTGATATAGAGTTCATGGGCTTGTCACAGACACACACAGAGAGAGGGAAAGTGATAAAATGCTCCTCCCCAGGACGGATGGCCACACCACAATCCCGTCTCCATTTTCCTCTTGGAAAATGCATACATGCCTGGCATGTTTCAAGCTGCCGGGTCCCGGTCTTGAACTGTACAGTTGGTCATGTGGGATCCAGCTGCCTTCACCACCACCACCACCATCTGGCCCTTTAATTTTCGTTTTTAAGTTTCTTTCGTGAAAGAGAGACAGACAGACACCCTTGACAGGGTCTTTATGCTACAATCCTTCCCCTAGCTTGTGCCTGATGTGTTGAGGCAAAGCCAGGATGTGAACCCAGAGCCTTCCCACACGGTCTCCAGCATCTTGCAGCCTGTGCTGCTGCAGGGCGGCTGGGCCTGAGCCCATGTCTACTAGGTCTCCAGAATTCTGAGGACAGACACTATTAATGGGATTATCTGATCAAAGGATAAGGAACTTCTTGCTAACAGGCATCTAGACACATTGTATTACTATGTCCCCCGTCCCCCCCCCCCCCCCTGTGGGGTATGGAGTATGGGGTAAAGAAAGATCTGCCTACTTTATAAACAATTATAATGGTTTTCAGTGCTTCAAGATACACATCCTGAGCCAGGAAAGTGTTAAACCCTGGCCTCGGGGCTGACTTCAGTTCCTTCCTCAACCCCAAGCCCACTGGAGACTGAGCTTGAGCTGCTGGGCTGCTGCCTTTGCTCAGCAGGTGCAGGAGGTGAAGGTTAGAATCAAGGCAGGTGCCCCAGCCATGCACCCTGGTCTCATGGGACAGCCCCCCCCCTCCTGCTCTGTTGAGGGTGGCGGTCTTTGCAGCAGATGGGGTTCTTTGTCAGGCAGATGGGGCATCAGGTTCCTCCCAGGCCCGGAGCTGCATGGAGCTTGGGTGGGAGGCAACCTCTCTGACCCTCAGGCTCTTCCTCTGATGGGAAAGACAGCGACTCTCAGGGCACTGTCATGGAGAGCAAGCATGGCAGGAGCACAACCCCAGTCCATGGCGTGCAGACACGGGGACGAATGTGCATCGTCATCCCTGCTGTGACACGGTTTAGCAGCGACATGGGACTCCGAGGAAAATCTGCCAGTGTAGTTTCCAGGCTGTCCTTACCACAAGCCTCAGTGACAATACATTTAAAACCTTGAGTTTCGGATCCACAGTTGGTGTAATAGCTATGTCGCTGGACTCCCATGTAGTCGACCACGGTTTGAGACCCGGACCTGGTGGCTTAAACTAACACTGGGATGTGTGTGCATGCCCGAGAGCCCAAAAGGAGAATGGAGGAGAAGGGGTTGCGGCGTGGCCATCCCTCCTGGGGGGTGATTTCTTGCCTTCTGTCTCTCTGTCTGTCTTTGTCTTTCTGGCGAGCATACACATCCTATAGCAAAAACCTCTAAAAAAAAAAAAACCCAAAAACAAAATCCTTGAGTTTTGTTTTTGTTTTTCTTTCTTTCTTTTCTTTCTTTCTTTTTTTTTTTTTTAAGCAGCTGTTGGATTTGGTAGTGTCCTTGTCAGTATGGCTGAGCTTATAAACTACACAAATGTGGGGAACCTTGTACTCTAAAATCTCCGGGGGGCGGGGGGGCATGGTCTTAGGCACAAGCCTAATGGGAGCTCAGGCCCTGGGAAGACAGCTCCAGGTCAGGGTGCCAACCTATGTGGGCCCTCTGGCTGCTGGGGTCCCCTTGCCCAAGCCTGACTTCACTATGCCTGGTCCTTTCAGGACACACTGCACACAGGTACTGCAAGAGTCAGGGTCCTGACCCTCCAACCTAGAGATGTGCTGAGACTCCAGATCCTAGGGAGGCCTTCTGGGGGCAGAGTATGCGGAGGGGTAGTCTGTGGGGAGGGCAGGTGGGCGATGGCACAGAGCAGGTAGGGCCCAGTGCTTTGCCGCCCTCCCCTCCAGTTGCCAAGTCCTCTGGACGTGGACTGCAGAGATCTCCCTGCATCTGTGGGGAGTGGGGCAGGGGCTGTGGAGCTGCTGGTCAGGAGCAGCAGGTACTCAGCTGGCGAGGAGGCTGTGGGACACAAGCTGTGTCTGTGTGGGCCACACCCCCTCACTGGGCACCCCTCAGCCATCACGTTCTCCCCTTCTCCCATCTTCCCACCCCCCTTGCAGTGTGGATCTGGTCCACGCACAGATCCACGTGGCGGAGGGCAGGAGCCTGCCCGACCTGGGCCTGCGGCAGGAGAACATCCGCATCAATGGCTGCGCCATCCAGTCCAGGGTCACCACGGAGGACCCCGCGCGCAGCTTCCAGCCAGACACAGGCCGCATCGAGGTAGGTGGCATGGGGCAGAGCTGATGCCAGCTTGTCTGTGTGAAGGTTCCCTTTTCAAGGCGCCTGGGGCTGCAGCACCCAGTTGCCCATGGGCCTGATAGGTTGCCCCCTAGAAGTTGCACAGGGGTTGGTCTGAGGCTGGCTCAGGGTGGGAGGGAGCCAGGCACTGACCAAGAGTAAGAGGAGAGGGCTCCAGGAAAAAAAAAGTACACAGGCTAGGAGAAAGCCAGTGAGTGACTCATGTGGGAACAAGGAGCAGACAGCTTGGCCAAGTGAAATGCAGAGTCCCCAGACTCTTGGCCTTCAGTCTTCCCTCAGGAGCCCAAAGCCTCGCTGCTGATAGAGCTAGTTCTGCTGAGGGTGAGGCCAGCAGAAAAGCCTATGGCGGGAACAGCAAAGCATTGGGGCCCAGATATCCATAGTTATCTGGGTGAGCCAAGCCAAGGGGCTCAATATGATTCATGGTGGGTGGTGACTGGGCACAGTGGACTATGCCTGTGATCCCAGCTCCTGGCAAGGCTGAGGCAGAAGGCTAGAGAGTTCAAGTCTAGCTTGGGTAATATAGCAAGACCCTGTCCAAAAGAAAGAAAGAAAGAGAGGGAGGGAGGAAGGAAAGAAGGAAAGAGGGCCAGCTAGGGGACATGGCGCATGGTGGTTAAGGTGCTGGTTCGCACATGGCCAATTACGCGGTTCAAATCTTGGTAGTTTAAAAATAATGCTGGGTGCATATGAGTGCATGCTCAAAATCCTGAGAGAACGGAGGAGAGAGTGTGGCATGACCATTCCCCGGGGTATGATTTTCACACATTTTCTGTCTCTGTCTCTTTCCAATAAGTGCACACACCCTATAACAAAATTTTGTTTAAAAAGATCAACAGTGGTGGGAAGGTTGAGACCAAGGGACAGAGCTCAGGGCTGTCAGTATCTGGCTGCAAGAGGGCAGGACCATGGCAAGCAGAGAGAGATGGCATGGGAAGGATGCCGAGGTGAGCCGGGGCAGCCCCCATCGACCCTCACAGCTAGGCCTGCACAGTCTCCAGGAGGGCTTCCTGTACCTTCCCTTTCCTCTCCACCCAGATCCCCCGTCAGTCAGTCCCTGAAAATCTTCTCCGCTTCCCTCCCGCCCAGGGGCCTGCTGTGGCGGAGCCCTCTGCGGCTCAGGGTGCCTGTTTCCTGGCTTTCTGGTTCGCCTGTTGGCAATGTCGCCACGTCAGCTCTGCTGGGTACCTGCCTCCCTATCTGGCCTCCGCCCTGACAAAGCAAGACACTAAAGAGCTCAGGTTCTGCTCTAGGTCCAGGGTAGAGGCCCAGAGCCTCCTGGGTGGGGCTGGCAGGTTAGCAAGGACAAGCACGAGCTGACGGCTTCTGAGACTGGCTGGGAGTGACTTTGGGGAGGTGGGGGTGGCATCTGTCTGGGCTCAGAGAGGCAGAGCTTGGGGGCCCCGGCAAGGAGCTAGGCCTTGTGTTTCGTGTCTGTTTCTGGAAGGACCAGAGCCTGCAGCAGGGCAGCCCCGGCTGAGTGCTGCCAGAGGCCCCGACTTCTCTGCCTGTCTCCACCTCCACGTCCGGGGCCTGGCTCCTCAGAGCCTGGTTCACCACAGGATATTTTTAGTTGACAGTTCCTGCTCACAGCTGAGTGTTCACCCGTAAATATTTTATTAAGTTCCTTTTTATTGAACACAGACCTGTGCCCCTTAGAGGTGGACATGTGGTATGATGGGTGTCCCAAGGCCCTCTGGGCTGTCCCTCCACTCCATGTCTTCCTTGTGCACCTGCTGGCCCTGCACTTCTGCCCCTGTGCCCCAGATGAGTGTTGACCTGCGTGTGTGTTAGCGTTACCCTGATACCCCCACCCCAGGCTCCCCGTCACTCTCCAACCATTGGTCTGTCTGCTCTGTGGCCTCTCCTACTTGACTTGCTCCCCCGCTGGGCCGGAGTTGGGCACATTCCTGGGTTTCTGCCTCTCTTCTCCATCCGGCACTTTCCTCCTCAGCATTCCTGTCCTATATCTCCTTGTCTACGACTTCCCGGCCTCTTCTCTCTCCTTCCGCATTCTCCTCTTCTAGAAGGAAAGGGAAGGACGGGAACGTGAGTGGATATCGAGACCTTCCCCATCAGCCTGTGTGTTAAACAGGAGGCCCTTGGTCAGCCCGCCTTGTCTGCTCCCCTTGTTCATCGTCCTGCTGTGTCCCTGGGTTTCCTCGCTGTTTGCCTGGGAGCCTCGTGCAACCAGGGGCTTGTTTTATGCTGCGTCTGTAGCATGTGGCTTCTTGTGGGCACTCCATACGTGCCTGTGGGATGAATGAGCAGACACACAGATGAATCAGAAAGACCAGTGTTGGTCAGGCAGGCGGGAAGGTCAGTGCATCTGGCTCCAGAAGTAGACACGGGGCTGGCCCCTGCCTGCCCAGGGCCCCTTTCCCACATGCAGCCCTGGGACTGGCAGGGTACCTCCCTGTCCTCTCCCAGGTCCTCTCAGTGTCTGTGTGGGACTTACAGGAGGGGGTGTAGCCTCTGCGTTTGCTGGCAGTGGGGCAGAACTGCTGAGCAGAATTGGGGGCTCACAGGTGGCACCTGATCAGTCCTCAACCCCATGCCTGGCCCGCACTTACATGGCTACATCTGATAGGAACCACATTGTAAAAAAAAAAATACTTTTCTTGGGGGCCAGCAGATGGTGTAGTGGTTATGTCACTGGACTTCCACATGGCAGACCATGGTTTGAGTCCCAGACCTGGTGGCTTGAAAAATCACGCTGGGCACATGTGCATGCGTGCCCAAGATCTTGGAAGGAGACAGGAAGAGAAGGGATTCGGTGTAGCCTTCTCCCCAGGGAGTATTAATTTCTCACTTTCTCTCTCACTATGTCTCTCTCCAGTGAACACATGCACCATAAGACAAAAACTATTTAATATTTTTTTTAACGTTTTACTTTATTCATGATAAAGAACTTGTGTGTACAATGAGGCTGAGGAGGAAGCATTCTTGATAGTGCCTCATCGCACTTAGGTCCCCTTTCCCTGGCCCTCCAGCTCTTTAGGCATACTTGTGCCTGGTGTGTTTTCAGGCCAATCTAAGTATCTGAACCTGCAGTTGCCCTGTGACTTCCAGCACTGGGGTTCAGAACACTGCCACCTGCACCACCAGTCTGGACTGCAGTGTCTGACCCAGTTCCTGACATACACTTACCTCTCCCCATAGGTGTTCCGGAGTGGAGAGGGCATGGGCATCCGACTGGATAATGCATCTGCCTTCCAGGGAGCCGTCATCTCTCCCCACTATGACTCCCTGCTGGTCAAAGTCATTGCCCACGGCAAAGACCACCCCACGGCTGCCACCAAGATGAGCAGAGCCCTCGCCGAGTTCCGTGTCCGTGGTGTGAAGGTGAGAGGCTACATTCCTACCTGCCCCTGCTTCTGGCCCTCAGAGGGCCCCGTGGTCAGTTGTAGCCTCAGCAAGAGGCTGGCACAGGGCTGTGCCTCGGTTTTGCCTAGGTTTTGACTCTGTAAGGTCAGCGACATGTTTCTCCCGACTGCCTTCAGCCAGGCTGGCCAGGCTCCCCCTCGTTGCTCCTCAGCATCCCTGGGGGCCAGCCCAGGTTCTTTCTTGGGTGCTTTGGCACAGGCTGGAGAGTCTCCCATCTAGTCCTGGTCCAGGGAGACACACCCCCCCCCACTGCCTGCTCCGCCTTCGGTTAAGAATCACCTGGAGCATGTGTTGACTATTACTAGGCCCCTGATGAAAATTCTGATCTCAGAGCTGTTTTGAGCATGCTTCCAGGTAGTTCTTAATGTCAAGCAAACATGGACACCTCAGCCGAGCACTCAAGCACTTGCCCTGTTGGACGAGGTTACTGTGTGTGAGGGCAGACCCTCCTGCCCCCGGCCCAGTATGGGTAATGTTGGATGCTTCTGGGACAGCCGAGGTGTGTGGTTGCAGCAGGAGGCAGTGGCTGGCCTTTAGGGGCTTGCAACTCGGCAAGCCTTCATCTGGCTGTGGTCACCCCTTTAGTCCTGGTCCAGGGAGACCCCCCCCCCCCCAGCTGCCTGCTCCGCCTTCGGTTAAGAATCACCTGGAGCATGTGTTGACTATTACTAGGCCCCTGATGAAAATTCTGATCTCAGAGCTGTTTTGAGCATGCTTCCAGGTAGTTCTTAATGTCAAGCAAACATGGACACCTCAGCCGAGCACTCAAGCACTTGCCCTGTTGGACGAGGTTACTGTGTGTGAGGGCAGACCCTCCTGCCCCCGGCCCAGTATGGGTAATGTTGGATGCTTCTGGGACAGCCGAGGTGTGTGGTTGCAGCAGGAGGCAGTGGCTGGCCTTTAGGGGCTTGCAACTCGGCAAGCCTTCATCTGGCTGTGGTCACCCTTCTGGGCAAAGCTGCCAAGTGGCTTTGCTTCTTTGTTGGGCTCCATTACTGGAGTCCAGAGGGGAATTCATAGCCAAGAAATTCTGCCTGGCCTTCTGAAGCCAGAGAGCGCTGCCACCAGAATGGCAGGCCTGGTAAGATGAGTCCGAGGCTGGGCCCCCTGTGGGAGTGTCCCCCATGGCCCTTGCTGGGGGTTCCCACAGGATGGGCCGCCCATCAGCAAAGGAGCCCCCTGCCACCTGCCACACTTGGCTGTGCTGGGTGTCAGCCAGTGGCCCCTCGGCACTGCCACATTGTCCTCCTAGCAGCATCTTCCAGCACCTCCCTGTTGGTGACACTGAGGTGCTGGGTTGGGCACGTGGGCAGTGCTGTCCCCACAGTGCTCTGTGGTCATGCATATCGCCTGAACATGAGGCTCTATGGTAGGTAGGTCCGGGCAGTGGGCACCTAGTAGGTGCAGAACCCTTTTGGAGGAAGGGAGGTCTCTGAGCCTGTGCCTGGCAGCACTGGGCCAGCCCTGCTCTCCCTGGTCCCCAGCCACCCCGAGACAGCAGCACATTCCTATGTGCCTGGGGTCTGCACTGTCCGTGGGGAGCCTCGTGCATCGTATCCCGCATGTGTGTGGCACAGGCAGGTCGCACCATGTGCTTCCGTCACGGGCTCCCGCTCTTGTGTGGGGGCTTGGTCTCCCAGCATGGCTGTCCTGTGGCTGTTCCTGCAGTGTCCCCAGTGGGCAACCTGGGCGCCCAGCCCCTGCCTGCCCTACCCGTTCCTCTGCTTTGCCCTGGCAATGGTTTTGGCTGGCCCCTGGGCTCAAGCCCTGGCTCCTCTGCTCTCCTCACCTGCTCCTGGGTCCCACTGTGTGCCAAGTTGGCCCCTGGGCCACCTGGCCACAGGACCTTGCACCCGTCCTTCATCTTGGGGGAATCTAGGAACATCCTCCTGCCCCCTCCCCACCATAAGGTAGAGAAAAGGACACTGGGGCCCAAAACCATGGAGGCCAGCAACAGGCAGTTTTTGATTTCTGGGGGTGCCAGTGTCTTTCCTAAACGTGCCCCCAGGCTAGACTGCTGATTCCTGCCCTGCCGTAAACCGCTCGCCAAGGCTGGGCCTATACCTGGTCCTGCATCATCTACCCTCTCCCTGAGCCCCCTGTCCCTCTGCCCTCTCTAACCCCTCTCCTACCCTTGTTTGCATTTGGCGAAGCCAAGGGGTTCCTTCCCGTCCACCTCCAGCCGTGGACCTACCTCCAGCTGTGTCTGCCGGGGCTTCCGAGCCGCAGCCTTGCCCAGGCTGCCCATCAGCAGCACATGGCCCTTACACAGGAAACCGCGCACCCAGGAGGCACGTTCACTGTGGCTGCCACAGGCAGGCACCCTCACAGGCCCGGGATGCCAGCACAGCTCTTTGCATTTCTCTAATGATCCTGGGTATTCCTGACCCTCAGCAGGGCTGAGAGCAGCCCATGCCTATGAGCATTTGGATGGGAGGTGCTGGGGCCTCCAGCCAGCCCTGGGAGGAGCAGATGTTCGGAGGCTGCAGCCAGGTTAGAGGGTGCCAGGGCCTGGCCATGGGGTCCCAGCAGAGGAAGCAGAGCAGGGTGCCAGGCCCTGGCTCTCAGGCTAGGCTAGTGCAAGGAGTGGCCTCACAGGTGCCCTCACCCACCTGTCCCTGCAGCATGGGAGGCTAGAGGCCATCTCTCCAGAAAAGCCGACAGCACAGCCACAGGGGGCGACAGTGGAGCAGCTGGGAGGCACCTTCTCCCTGGGGCCTGCGGTACTGACAGGAACCTTCCAGAGGGCCCCTGGCTGACAGCAGACTACAGGATCCTCAGCCTTCTGGGATGGTATTTTACAAATCTAGAAGATGCCTGGGGAGATAGTCGACAAGGCTGACACTGATGGGAGCCGTGGAGACTTCTTATGAGTCATGAAGGGTGTTGCCAACCCAGGTCCCTCTGTCCGCCCAGAAGGGCTATGCCATCTCCCTCCTGTCACTAGGTCTAGTCCTGTGGCTGCTCTGACTAACATGACTTACTGCTCACGCCGGGCCCTGCACACACAGGGCACTTCGTCCTGTCCATGCCATGCAGGGAGGGGCAGTCTCTGCACTTCACAGACAAGGGAATAGGAGCCCCCAACTCAGGCAGCCCCCCCCCGAGCCTACAACTACTCCTAGGGTGGACCCAGGGCCACCCAGGGCCACCCAGGCCAGGAGATGTCAGACCCATGCCTTGCCCCTGCCCTGTCCCCGTCAGACACAGGAGGCTGTAGGTCCCTGGGCTGCTTATGCTGTCTCTGCTGGGCCTGGCAGTCCCGGCCCTGACGCCTGTCCTGGTCTGTGTGCCTCCACTGGCCTCCATGTCCCATCTTCTCCTCTCAGGGGACCTAGCAGGATGAGACCAGAGACTATAGCACTGAGGTGTCCTCAACAATTTTATTATAAATAAAAACAAGACTCCCACTTGGTGGCTGCAACCCCTGCCTTAGTGGCCATGAGCACCTGTTGGAGGGACTTGTCCCCTTACCCTAGTCTGGAGACCAGTACCAAGGAAAGAGCTCCCTGTCCCACCAAGGGCGCAGGGGAGCCTGAGGTACCGAGAGGAAAACCAGGGCCGGGCTCCCGGGCGGTGCTGCTCTCGCAGGTCGGACTGGCTGCCCCAGGCCCCTGCCCTGTGCGGCTGACCCTCAGAGCACAAGGGAGGATGCCCCTCCCATCATACCACACTCTCCTCCAGCCGCTCAGCGCTGCCTCCCACCCCCCGGCACCCTGCGCCCAGGAGCCCCCCATGCACAGAGTGGCTCCGTCGGGCCCAGGCTCCCCCCAGGCGCCTGGCATAACCGTAGCACCCGCCAGCATCTCCCAGGTCCAGGGAGCAGCTGCGCTGTGGGCGTGGTGGGGGGCTCCGCGGCGGGGGGGGTTGGTGTTCGGGCGGG